CCAAATTTTTTAGACTATTTCGATTTTTTGCCCGAGAAATTATTAAAAACACTCCTAAAGTATCGTATAATACAGGCGCGGAGCGCACACCCGACTTTTAATTTTGGTAAAATTTGCATTTTTTGCCGACTTTGGTATTGGAATACCAAAATTGGTATTGGAATACCGATTGGTATTGTAACCGACCGTTTCCCCACGGCTACCAGATGTGATCTACTCAGTATCCCGCTTCGATAACGTATTCTCACGACATCGTCAGAGAACCGAGGTTAGACAATTGCTGGGAGTCAGCCGAGAGGACCCCTAAAAAAGTGATTGTTTACTTACAGTCGAACATTTCTTCAGCATGACCCAGTCAGCTGCTGTCTTACAAGAGAAACCAAGGCGTGCGTTCGTAATGGAAGCATTCCAACAGGGCCATTTGGTTGGTACAGTGGTCTTCATGGGGACCCTAAGACAGCGTATCGTTAAAGCAGGCGAGACTGCTATAACCGAGAATTACTTTGGCCTGGATACCGCAACCTCGTTGTTAGGATATGGTCCCCCAGAGCGGAAGGCAGACTACTATCTTACTGCAGAATCACTTGCCCGGCACCAAGAAGAGATTAGACCAACATTGAGCAGTGGACACAGAGCGAAGGACTCTGGAATATACTAGCAGCGCTCTGCCCAAGACAACTCGCGAAGAACGAAAGCGGCTTAGCATCCTATTTGAAGAGGAAAATGAAATTGAGCTCCTGCGAAGAATCATGGAAAATCGCTCCTTCCTTAGCCGTTATTGAGAGAGACAGAGATTGGCTCTACACTTCAAGAGCGCCTTCAAGCTCTTCGAGAAGCAAGACCAGACTTGGATCAGCAAGGTCAGAATCGAGAAGTAGAGTTGATCTATATGAGTTGTTTGTGCAGCGGGTCCTACATGAGGAAGAGACCACTGCTTTGGACCTCGCAAAGCTCCGTACCAAGATGGCCTCCATGGGATTCTATTTCACACAGAGTCCAGAGTAAAAGATCTGGGGACTAATTGTCCGAAACTCGGGTCTGGTGATTGGATGCTCCATGTGTCCCTTGTTTAATGTGTCCCTTGTTTATTACGCTGGGTACAGGAGGAGCGAGAGAGAAGCCCAAGCGAGGAGAGATTGGAACATGAGAAGTTCTTACATGGGTGCTTCACTTGCAGGCCAGAGCATGAGTCAGCTGAGAGCCCATCCCAAGAGGACAGTGTGTTCGGAGCCGTCCCAGATTTCCTGATCCGCGATGAGGAGCTGTGCCCGTGCATAGAAGACGCTGCTGTGTTGCTAGATTCAATGACCGATAAGGTTTGTCGGTTATGTCGCAGAGAGACCGTGGCCTCTGAGTACCCAAGAGTAGACCAGCACAACATGGAGGATCTAGAGAAAAGTGGAGGAGTACGCCGCCGCACCGGCACACGAAGCAGCAACAGTAGTGTCAGAGGGTGCCATCGCAGATCTTCGAGCAGCAGAACCAGAGACATTGGAAGAAGTTCCAGAAGATCCTGTGTTGGAGTCTTTGTACGCCACAAAAAATCCCCATAAAACAGAGTGGGGCGCAGATTTGGATATCCCAGCTTCAGGCCCAGAAGAACATCGCCCACGAGCTTTGTCAAACCTGTTACCACCTGATGTGGATCAGGTCGGACCAATCTTCGGAGGACCAGAGGTTGATGGGTGGCCTCAGCATATCAGCCACACTTTCAAGGATACTTGGATACCCTAACCAGATGTTTTCCAGCCGTATTCCGCAATCACGCATTACCCAGCACACGAGAGACTGCTGGCCAGCCCGGGCAGGAAGATGCCCAGGAATGAGAGAAGCAGTTCCAGTCGGAGCAAGGAAGATTTGAGTTCCAACTACAGGGTGAAGTCCAGTAGGACTCCCAGCAGAACGAGAAGATGTCACAAAGAAAGCATTGGGCGAGCAGATTTACATGGAGGTGCACAACGCCGAGAACATTGATCCTAAGACACAGACATTGCATCAGGTTGATCTCACTGCTCTGAAGATCACAGCCTTTATGAGTTTGGCCAATACACAATCAGCTCTACCGACTCATATGGTTACAAAGATGCGAATTTTGGAAAGTCAGATAAACCGGACAACAGAAAGTAGCCGCTACTACACGTTTAACATCGGCGGGGGACAAGAGCCAGATCCCGCCAAGCCTTGGTTTTCAATGAGGAATCTCTTTCCAGCTAAGATTGGGGCGAGAGCTCTGAACCTGTTTCTATGTGGTGGCGGGAATTGCTAGTATACCGACGTCACCAGGCAATCTGCGGATCCAGGCTTGGGTCCACAGGGCTATTATGCTGTGAAGAAGACCATCAGGGAGGCTAAGGCGGCCACCGTTCCCGATACTGCTCAGGGCGCACCTCCTGGAGCATAGAAAACTAGCCTAGAGTATCGTCCAGGGACTCTACATGAAAAGCAGTATTTGGTGAAAGGAAATAACGATGAGCGAAATTTCATACAGACGTAAGCGGAGATGCTAAGCAATAAGTTTCCAAGGAGTTTTTAGGATCAGCTGGGAGTGATTTGGATTCTCCTTCCTCGAGGAGGGGATTATAGGACAACAAGACCTGGACAGCGACTCCTTGTGACACACGGTACAACACTTCCATTGAAAAAGGTTCATCTAGGACAGGGATGGAAATATGAGAAAATTTTCCAGCGGCACCGGCACGGCACGGCACAAAATTCGATAATGGGATGCCTTCTCAGCCCGCCGTTTTTCACGAGGTTTACTGAGTTCAACCTGGATTCAGAATATTCCTATTTTCTTACCGTGACTAGGAGAGTCATGGGAGGAAAGGTTTGGAATAGGGTGGGAATATTTTTCCGGATGTTGGTCCCGAGGCTAGATATTTTTTTGGGTGAATTCTAGGGTCCAAAGAAGTCCCTAAAAATTTTGAGAAAAATTTTTTGTCGGAAAAATTCTAGAGCCGATTGAAATTTAGTTTTTTTTTAATCATGAAATATGGCTTTTTTTCAATAGGAAATGCCCTAGGGCTATTATTTTGTCCCCTTTTTTTCTTCTATTTTTTAGCCGCGCTTAAGCCGCAAAAAAGCCGCACCTCAAAGATGAAAATAATAGAAAAATTATAGCTTTAACGCTAAAAACAAGTATTTTTTTTCGTTTTTCATTTTTTTTTTGACTTAAAAACTTAGTGACCCCCTTAATAAACATAGTAATACCCTTATTTTTACAAAAATATAATAAAGGTCTTCCTCGCCAAGAAATATGGGCATTGAGGGAGTCTTGTGGAGCTGCGCGGGCCTTGGCCTCACTGGCCATGTGCGCTGGGGCATTGCGTAACTCGCGATGCGCGGAGGAGGATGCCTCCCGCGCCGCGATCCAAATGACTAACGAGGGATCATGACGCAAAGAGCCTGAGACGGGCATGGTGGGGACATAGGGGGAAGCTCTGAGGGGCCTTGAAAAAATTATTTTTGACAAAAAAAATAATTTTGGCCTCTCTAGATCAGCCCGGACCAGAGCTGGAAAAAAGTATACTTCCCCCCGCCCTTCAAAAATCTGCAGGGCGCCCTTCATTCTTGAAGGGCGGTGAAGTACGAAATGGCTCTGAAGTATACTTCACGCGCTGAAGTATAATTCAGCTATCGGTTCTTATCGAAAACTTTAGCTGTCACTTCATCTGCTACAATCAGCGTGATTTAAATCATGGCGCCTGAGAGCCAATATGCGCAAAATTTGAAAAAATTCTGGTGGATGGATTCTGGTGGCCGACAGAACCAAGTTGAAGTAGAGTGAAGGGCGGAAGGGCGGTTGAAGTAGAGGGAAGGGCGGAAGTACACTTCACGCCCTTCAAAGCCCTGCAACTCCCTGGAGTATACTTCATGAAGTAAACTTCATTCTGAAGCAGGGTTCGGTATTTTGAATTCGCGAAATTATTCGTTTTTCATTTGAATTTCTATGTATTCGTTTACGAATATTCTCTATTGAGCGAATATTCAAAACGAATGAAAACGAATTTTCTCTGAGAATTTTTCAGAAATTCAGCGAATTTCTGAAAAATTCTGAGAAATTCTGAGAAATTTCCGCGCGCTCTGATTGGTCGGGCTTTGACGTTGCGCAGCCTATAATTTTATCTTCACCGCCTAAATAACCTTATAGCTCGCGGGCGCCACCCTTTTCTCACCCGCGGCCATGGAGTTCAGCCAATCCAGGGCTGTACGCTCAATTTCGAGCGAATATTCGCCCGAATAGGCGATTCGCGAACAATCGCTCATTCGCTTAAGAAAAGAGCATATTCGCTGCGTGTATTGGCGAATTTTTCGGCGAATTCAAAATACCGAACCCTGTTCTGAAGGGCGAGTGAAGTATACTTTTTTACCAACTCTGGCCCGGACTATTGACAATGATCAAAGCCGCATACGTGCGTACGTCCGTACATCTTTATCGCACATTATCGGTTTCGACACGCATCGTGAGTTGACAGGAAAGTCTGCTGGTGGGCCTAACTCGCCAGCAGGGATCCCTGTCCTAGGCGCTTTTGGCCCGGTATCAGTGGGACGGCCGACTGATATCGTGATCAGGGCAGGGCAGGGCGGGGAAAGGCAAGGCAGGGCAGAGAAGGGCAAGGCAGCGCGAGGCATTGCAAGGTAATGCAGCGAGTGGCATCGCACGGCTAGGAAACGCAGTGAGAAGCAGCGAAAGGCTGGGCAACGCAGTGAGAAGCAGCGCAAGCCTAGGCAACGCAGAGAAAGGCAGCGCAAGGCTGGGCAACGCAGTGAGAAGCAGCGAAAGGCTTGGCAACGCAGTGAGAGGCAGTGCTGGGCTTCGAATTGCAGTGTGAACCAGCGCAAGCCTTGGCAACACAAGGAGAGGCAGCGCAAGGCTGGCCTTAGCAAGACAAAGTCGCGCGATCAAGCTATCCTTTCCGAATGAAAATGAAGGCAACTTTCTACAAGCAACAAACAAAAACAATAATCTCGAAAGACAAGGCATATGAGCGATCTATGATTTATTCAGAGAAAAGCACAGAATGGTAAGCAAGAAAGATACTTTTCTTGTGCTGCTTGCGCTTCTTGTTTGCCTCTTTGACTTTGTTCGCCGCAGTCTCCTTCTGCTCATCGGTCATTTTAAGTCGAATTGTAGAGGTGAATGAATCGTAAGCTTCATCGCGTGTGACGACTCCGAAATCGGCAACAATTTCCCAAGCACCTTGAAAATTTTATCAGACGTAATTGGCTCTCCTGGAAAATAACAGGTGGAGAGATCGTTCGTGGTGGGCTTGCACAAAACCATTTTTCGTCGTTTTCGTCTTTCTCTTAGGTGATCTCTGGTAAAAATGATGAAAACTTCAAAAACGTCGTCTTATATAGGTTCAAACACCTACGCAATATCACTTTAGCCAATGAAAACACTCCAAATTTTCAATCCTGACAAATCAAAACTCTTGAGGTAGACCAAACCATTCTTAACCGAACCATTCTTAAAATCGAACCAGTTACTATATCGACCACGCTGAGAAAGAGGGCGGTAATGAGCACAATGAGTCTGCAGTGAGGAAGACATCCCTATCTTTCCTCGAGCAAGATTGTCATCACAAAAGATCCATCAGCGGACAACTTATCCGTGATTGATTACTCATTATGACTCATCTCCTTATAGCTCATCGGTGAAAGATCGTCGAAAACGCTGTTTCAGTAAAGTTACGAAAAACTATTGCCTTATTGTTTGTAAGAATGCCATGAATGCTTGTTGGTTGACAAAGTGGAACTGAAAAGGAGACTGCGCTTGATTCTGAAGAGGTTGAAGGTCGTTTCAAGCAGGGATCTGTGTTCCAAGTGTGTTGAAACTTGTGTTTAGGCAACGCCGCGGTCAAAGTGCATTAATTCTGCCTACATTGCCCTAGATAAGGAAAGAATTAAGGTTTGTTTTTAGACGAAGCACCGTTTTCAGAGTGTGTTCAAGCTAATGTCATGCGAGCGCCGCGAACAGTATGAGTGGATGCTTGTTTGTTACCAGAGCAGCCTGAAAATAGACTGCGCTCTTTTCAGAAAGAACTGAAAAATGGACTGAAGAATCTTTTCCAAATATGTGGTGACAAATAAAAGAGTGCGCTATTTCGAAACCTTTTCTTGGGAGTTGCTTTTGGAAGCAATTCATGGCGCTGGCCAAGGGCTATCAAGCCTTTCCTCTGGATTTTCTTGATTTCTTATGAGTTTAGAGCAGTAAATTAAGGTAAACGAGTGGTTGAAATGGGTTTGTGCAGTCCAAGAATGTTTCCTTCTGATTTTGGCGAAATTTCACTTTTCAATTTTTTTTCATCGATTTTTTTGAGTGGGTTCCGACAAATATTTTTTGGTCAATATGGGCTCAAAAGATGCGCAAGACGTTCTTCTTTATTGTATGGGTACTAACTCACTCCGGAACCACCCTTTTCTTAACAATTTTTTTCAAAAACCGATCGGATTTTATTGAAAAAATGGCATTGTCCATCTTCAGCGCCTCATATCTCCGAAATGAGTCATGATGACGTCTTCATACCCGTATTGAAAATGAAGCTTAGACACTGTTCTTTGTTTTCTTACTAATAATGATGACGTCATCATGACTCATCACAGAGTTATGACTCATTTTCCCGATGACATGCAAAAAAATCATGTTTTTTGCCATAAATCACGTCTCAGATGAAAATTTTCGACGAAACTTCGGGAATGTAATTTTTAGGATCTAACAAATCTAGCAAGACCATTCGGACCTATTTTCACCGAAAGTGGAAAAAATATTACCACCCTAGTTTGGAAGAATCAATTCACAGGGGATGTTGATGCATATGGGCGAGGAAAAGAGCTACTGCAAGGAACAAGCCATGGATGAGAAAACAAATGACTACGGTCATTTGTTCGCCTATAGAACGAGGAGAAAGCGAGATCCTCAGTCCAAGAAGCCATATTCTTCACAGGAGTTCCACGCTACCGAGCTGCTGTAGATCTTGGCCAACTTTGGAAGAAGAAAAACCGAAGATCGAAGGAGCTCTTTCTTTAACCCTGTGTTCTGCAACCATTTAACAGCAAGGAGCAATAAAGAGGATTAAATCCTAAGTATCATGGTCTGTGATTAGAACTGCGAGCATAAGGATCAGGTGCTGCAACAAAGAATTAGTTAACTTCTCAATACACGGGCGCGCGACTAAGCGCTCAAAACACGGGGTCGGGTGAGGGGACCACAATTCATTATTCAGCCCCGCGCGGCGCGCAAAATTAGGAGTGTGATAAAGAGCGCTCAAGACTTTCAGCTCTTACTTGCGTTTCCGGCAAGCAAAAAAGTTACAATACATATCTAGGGTTTGTATCGGGAAGGCGGCGCTAGGCGAGGCGCTTCTTGCCCAAAATGATGGCAATCTATTTCGCGTAACTTGAAAGAATTTCAGTGAAAAACCTCTGAATATATGAAAAAAGATGACGCTTGTTCATAAATTGACCTCAAAAACCTAAATTTTCATCAAAAAAGCGTAGTTTCCTCGAAAATCTACAGAAAACCTGCTCTCTATGTGTCTAACCGACCTTCTGAATGTCTGATTTTGAGATATGTCAAAGAACAGACATTTTTCTAGAGTCTGTTAAAGTTTGAAAACCGGGAAGAAGCTAGAAGGCTTTCAAATGTCCTGTTGATGGAGTCTTGGTGGCGGCGCGATAGTGCATTGCGCGGCGAACGCAGCCAAAAAATTGGTTTCTCTTATTTTTGAAGCCCTAACCGACTTTTTTAAATTCTGATTTTTATATATAATCAAAAAAGGACCTTTTTTAAGAACATATGTAAGTTTGAAAACCGGGGAAGCCCTAGAAGGTCTGAAATTTCTCGATAACTGACTGGAACTGACGACGCGGTGGGAGATGATGCGCCGAGCGTGGCGGCTGAACTAGCCTTCCTTCCACGCGCTCGGACTCTATTGAAATTGCGCCCCATGTTAGGTTCGAACCTTTATGCATAAGGTGACAAAACCAAGTGGTTCGATGCTAAAATCCAGGGATTTCCGGTACTCATTGCAGTTGCAACATGTAAATAATCGAATTAACACTTTTTGAAATCTTGTCGAGCATAGAATTGCAAGTCAAAGAGAGATTAACGAAAGTAAAGAGACTTCTCACTACGGAACAAAGACATGCAAAATTTATTTTTTATTTGTTGAATTAAATAAAATAAATAATTTATTCTTAATCAGCACCTTAGAAAACCTAAGTCTACCAAAATTTTCGAAAAAAAAGATCGAATTTTATGATTTACTCCAAGCGCACCGGGCGCGCGCACCGAGCCGCTCCACCACCAAGCTAAGCTCAGATGGTTTTTTCTCTTGCATTTTCAGAATCAGTGTAAAAAACTGATCTAATGACCTTATTTTTGAGGAGAAAGACACAAATCTGATTTCCCGATACAAACCCTATACATATCGCTGGAAAGCTTGAACACTCAGCTATCAAGATTAACAATTACTTTTGAAAAACACTTTTTGGATTTTCAGCTGCAGAGTCAAAGATAAATCCGGTGCAAAACGCCAGCACTTTTGAGAAAACTTCCGAAATTTCACAAAGTGGTTCGTTTTAGTCATCTTAGCTCACATTACAAAAATCATGTCAAATGGATTATCACAAGAGAAATTACGGTGGCTCAAAGTCGCCGTGGTCGGTTCAACCGACCACGTGTATTGAGAAGTTAAAGCGTACATACATGCCCTGCCTATAGCCTAGGTGTTTCATGATTTCAGTGCATTTAGATTGCAGTAAGGAGAGAACACTGAACTGCTATTTCATTTAGCAGTGAAGGTAATTTATAAACCAATGCCATGATTTAGTTAAACGCTGAGCGAGAAAGTGGAGAGCAGTAAGGCAGAGACAGTCTCACAAAGCAAGGTCAGTAAGAGAAGTGAGCGGGGATTCAGGCTCAGTTCAGCGCCTTTGTTTTCTTGGCAAATTCGTCCGGGCAGTCAATTGACATCCCTTCTGTGGAGTCAGGGTCCATAGTCTATGGACCATAGTGGTCCGAGCACTTCCAGTTCCAGGGTTTTCCAGAGCAGCTTGCTGAGTATCGATGGCCACCCCATTGTCTGTCAGCTGCTCAGGGAGAGGGTCATGGCTGTGCTGATCTGAAGCTAGAAGTTAGAGGAAGTTTCTTTACTGCCTTCTTGGTAGTTGCGTAATGCGCCACGACCAATATATTAGGGACTTTTAGATATATTAAGGGATAGTGGTCGTTCAAGGGTAGGGCCGAGGGGACAATGGCTCATCTCGTACCCTTGTTAGGCTGTCGCTCAGCGTGAGGAGAAGAAGAGCTACGGATTTCATTTTGGCCAGAAGAGGGAGAGCCAGGCAGCGGTCTTCCAGCTTGCTCAAGATTCCCTCGTTGCTTGGCTGTAGGATTAACAAGGGTCGGAAAGGTGAAGCAAGTGAGCTTTCCCAGAGAGTCAGCTTGGAATTTTCCTAGGTCACAGGCAAGGGTGCTGGCCATGTCTTGATCGCCGGTGATTTGACTCAGGAGGGCAACATCCTGGATGATTCTAGCAGTACTGCAGGGAGCTAGTGAACGAGTAGAAAGGCTGATGCCAACTCTACCCATTGTCCAGGTCGCTTGAAAAAGCTTCTTCTGTAGCCAGGAATCAAAGGGAGAGCCCACCTTGAGCTGGGCAAGGGCATCCAGTTCCTTGCAGAGATGGGAAGTCAAGCCCATGTACTTGGCACCCACTGAGGTCCAGGATTCATAGACTACAGTGTTCTCAGTGAGGATCTTCCAGGCCGCAGAGGGCCTGGTACGACTTCCTTCAATTTGGATGAGCATGGCATGAAACTTGGTCCAGGAGTCGCGACCCACTTGGTTGATGTTGTTTGAGGCAAGGAATACTACTACTCCACTCGAGACCAGGGTACTACCGGCTCTGGTGTCTCTTGGACAGGATTATTCTCTCATGGCAGCGCTGTTCCGGGTGTTGCAAAAGGGCCCATGAAGAAGACCATTGCTCGGAGCTCCCACACCTAGGGCAAAAGCAACGTGAAGTTCCTTTAGCATGGCTTGGAGGGTGGTCATATTCGTTTCATCAGAGTCAAGCATTGAAAAGAGTAGTTCACAGGGTCTGGCATTTTGACCCACGTGCATCAGCAGGTAGTTCTTTGTGACAGAGTGGAAGCTTCGCACGAGGGCAAAGTTGGTGGTTTTATCTCTCGCCATCCTGACATAGGAGCAATCTCCAAGATCAATAAGCCTGGTCGGTAGGAGATAAGAAACATCCTTAGCATTGAGCAGATGCTTTTCCAGGTTTCCCAGACGGATACTTTCCTTAAAGAGCCACGCAAGGTTTCCATTCGTCAGGTTGACACAAGCATATGCAAAGACCATCCTTCGGGTCGAATTAATGGGCGTTCCCTTCTCCTCTTGACGGCTTTATCTTATCACTCACTTAATTATGTGGCCACAAAGTTGGTCTGCGATCCCCTTTAATCACTGAGTTGACTGTAATTGATTTTAATTTTTTTAAATAATGGTCTTCCAGTAGATTGTCTTCCGACAGAAGGGGTCCTCCGGGGGTCCTCCGGCAAAATGTGACCAAAGCTGGCCGAAAGTGTTTATTCTTAGCCCAGCAAGGCATTCTATTTCATTTTTTAATTTTGGTCTTCCAGCTGATGTTTTTCCACCAGAAAGGTCCTCCGAGGGTCCTCCGGCCAAACTTGACCAATGTTGACCATAAGTGGTTATATGTTGACCGAGCATAGCCATATATTAAAAATTTTAAATACTGGTCTTCCAGCGGATGGTCTTCCACCAGGAAGGTCCTCCGGCCGAACTCGACCAAAGTTGATCTTTTAGCCGGCTTCGAACCGGTTAATTTGTACTCAAAAAAGAAAAATCCTTCGATAGATATCCATATGTAATAGAAAACACGTGGTTTTGGAGAGAAACCGGCTGGTTTTGGCTTGAGAACTGGTTGGTTGAGCTCTTAACCGGTCAATATTTTGTCAAGAGAGAAAAATCCTATCGAAAGATATCCATATGTAAGGGTTTACATGAGGTTTTAGAGCGAAACCGGCTAGTTCCGGTGATTTTGAGCAATTTTTGGGCTCCCTGAGCACCTTCAATCGCTTCTAGCGCCAAAAATTTGAACTAAGTTTCTACTTTTTTGGTACCAATAGAAAGCTCAGACGACAAGCTTTCTTTTGAGCCCCTTATCGATATCTTATCACGATGAGATCAAGGTGAGCCGGCCAGAAACGTGAAAAAGTACCGATTTCCGGTGTTAAACCTGATCATTTCCGGCAGAAAAGTCAGTGGTGGTGAAAAACTTTCAATATGAAAAATATTCAGTTTGAGTTGCTCTATCATCCTATCGTTGCCGTTTTTTGAAAAAATTGAGCGCACTGATCCGACCCTTTTTTGCGTGCGGTCCCTACTTATACGACATGACGACAAACAGCAAGTACAACGAAAAATGCATGAAAAAAGAAATAAAAAAGCTTAGACTGAAAACTATTTTACCCGCGATTTCGCGTTATGCTATATTTGTATCAAACTTTTGAAATTCTCAATTGATTATTTTGCCTTATAATGACTGTTTTACCTTTTTTGTTGAGTAAAGAATTTGTAACAGTACTTTCGATGACTATTTAACCTTTATTAGATTGAGTTAAGAATCTTTTCTTATGTAGGATTTGACTAGAAATAATCATTTTCAACCGCCAAAATTATAGGGATATGATTTTGAAAAAAAAATTTCTTTTTAGATAGCAATGGCCAATAAAACAGAAAAAAATTAGAATGGATAGAATACTATGAAGTTGAGCTCTAAGTGGAGATGGGAGAATCTGAGATTCGCGAGAATACATGGGCTTTGCGCGAACCCCAATTCTGAGCGCGCCTAATTCTGCGCCAGCTGTGATTAGCCAATCAGCGGACATTTTTCTTCCGCAAACAATTTCGAGATTCGAGATAACGCCAAACACGGGCTTGGCAAAATTTCTAGAATCCCCCGACATTGAATTGTGCGGGAAACGGAGAAGGGGCCCAGGGGTTTTCTCCATCAAGAGTAAAACTTCATGGTATTTCATGCTCTTTTATGTTTTAAAATTTTAACGCAAACGATGAGTAACAACGATGAAATTTTTGTTAGTAGAATGAATAAAAATAATAATTTTACATAGTATAATTAAATTGAATATTTTTGATTCTAAATAGCTGTTTAATTCATCTTTATTATCGCATTTAAATTCAGCGGAGAATTAAAGAATTATTTTGGGTTCAAGAAAAGATGAAAATCTTTCATTCGATAATAAAGAGTCAAATTTTCATAAAAATTTTTTTGACAAATTTCAATTTAATTCAAATTTATTCTGGTTATAAATATTTACATTAGTTTTATTTTAAATTTTATAATTTTTCTCATTTTATAACAACAGGGAAGGAGAGGCGAAGTTGTTCGCCCGAGAAAGCTTTTCGTCTTTTATTTACGAAGTCACGCGCATCAATGAAAATTAAAATCTTTAAATTGTTTTTATATAATATATTTGAGCCTCTGAGATAATTTTTGAAATTTTAACCCGTTTCTGCACAACGACCGAAAAATTGGTAACATCGATTTTTGTCCATTTTTTATTATTTTTAGGTATAGAAATAGATATATTTTTTGTTTTTACTTGATATATATTCAAAAGATAAGTAATCAAATTAGAAAAATTATTTATTAGGTGACTAACCGGTGATCGACCTCACCTCCTTTCGGAACCCTTTCGGGACGTCAAATGACAGCAAGACCTCTCGGGGCCACAGTTAGTATGAAAATGATGAGGATGATTAATCATGTTAGTAATAATGATAGAAATGATTGTATTATGAAAAAGAGATGAATAATTAGGCGACTGACCGGTGATCGCGTTGGAAAATGATCGCATTCCCTTCGCTCTCGGCGCCGCATTGTTAGTATTATAGTGATAAGAATGATAAATCGTGTTAGTTTGATGATATAAATAGTGATATGAGCTTGAATATAGAAATATTCTTTATTTTCTTTTAAAAATTACATATATATAAAATTAAAATATTTACAATCAAATTTATAATATAGTTTCAAAATTCTGGCTGGTTGAATATGCTTTTCTCTTTACTTGAAATTACCTTAATTAATATTTTACACTTTATTAATTATTCTCGGTACAAAAATATGAAAAAAACTGTTTCATTGTGAAAAAAGGAGAGTCGGAGAGTGCGCGCTGCCTTATCAGTTGGCCGCGCCGCGCCGCGCAGTGAGTCAATATTACTTTGACTGCTTTTTATAATTTCTTACTGTTCACTATTTTACATTTTATGAGTTTGCTTATTATTTCAAAAATTTGATTTTAAAAATTAATTTCACTTTGTTCAGTCATTTTTTAATAATTTAAAATTTATCTTTATTAAATAACTGTTTAATTATTATAATTCTGTTCACATTTTCAAAATGAACACAATCTCAGCTATCTGGGAGGTGAGTGTGGAGGAGTGTGCGAGGCCGTCGGGTAGACCCCCGGCGCTGCCGAGCATGCCCCGCTACCTCAGGCCTCCGGATAGGGGAGAGATCAGTCTTGAGGAGTCTGGCCTAGAGTCTTGCCTAGTCTTGCCCGAGCCGAGTCCCACTCTTAATCACGTGACCACCTGACCAGACCAATAAATTTTCAATAGCAATTTTTTTAGTTGGGTCGAACTACATCTTGTCCCGAAGTTTCAGCTCTCTACGTTAATGCTTTCTTGGAGTTGATTTTTATCGTGTCGGCCCTAGTGATACCTTGAAAAAAATTTTTTGCCATGAAAATTGTTTTGGTAAGTCATCGAAAGAGGATAAAAACTCTTGGAGGCAGAATTTCTCAGTCAAAAATTCTTTGATTTCGGTCAAAAGTCAGCCACTCTTGCCGAAATATTTATTCAAAATATAACTTTTTTTATTCAAAATATGACTTCACTAAAATTCGGAATTTGGCAGAATTTTGAGGCGAAACTACCGCTCAGAGGAGTTAGAGTTTGGGCTTTAGAAAATTGCTAACTGTACCTGCCAGAACAAAAAAAATAACAGAGATGGATTCATTATAAAGATATCTGATCGCAACATTTGCAGCAAAAATTTCATTTAATCTTCTATGCGAAATTGGGAAAATTCCTGATCTGGGAACCTGATTTTACCCGTTGCCGAGCGCGTCGCATTCAGGATCCTACACTCTGCCCCGAGGCTCGAAATCCAGCCATACCTTTTTCGTAGACGGCCTTTATGAACTTATCGCTGGGCAACGGGTAAAGGCTACCTGGGTCGAGTTGGCCGTCTTTGCGGGAAAATTACTACCCTTGGAGGTTTGTAATGTAGCTCATTCGATAGATCTATCCTAGATCTCGGATAGTGACAGAGCACATTTTTTAATTTCAAAAAAATTTTTCAGAATAAATGTCGTCGAAATTAGCGTCTCGGCCAATAATGGCCAATTTCAATGCCCAATTCAGGCGAAAATTTCCATTCGAATTATTTATTAATTTTTTATGAATATATATACAGTTATTTTCCTATTTTGTGGACATTTTTTGTCCCAAATTTTCATAAAAATGTCCACAAAAGTGGGCAAGAGTCTTCAAAAAAATGTCCCGCCGTACTGCCTTAAAATTTTTTTCTTCGATAAATTTTTCTTCATTAATGGCGAATTATATCATCAAAATGCCTTTGTTTTGACTGTTATACCAGTTTTGGTCAATTAAACTGTATTAGACTTTGATTTCTTATCAAAAACATCCTTATTTTTGAAAAAAACACCCTGTTAATTCCTCACAAATTTTCTTAGCTGGACAAATGTCCACAAAAGTGGAACATTATCCTTGCAAAAGTGTCCCACAAAAACCCCTTAAAATGAAGAAAATGTCCACAAAGTTGGGGTCCACAAAAGAGGAAAAAAACTGTAGTTTAAAGCCTCCTCCTGTGACTGAGCAGACTTTTCGATTTTGAAGATTTTTTTAACAAAATTTTGAAAAATATGGACTCGGCTTCGCGAATCTCGCATTTTTGCTTGGTAAGCGTCGATTTACCTCGATTTGGAAATGAATTTTATTTTCTCGGGCGATTTTAAGCTTCAACACAATGTTAACCAGGCAATAACTTATGGCTAGAGCCCAGCCAGAAAAAATGGCCAACTCGAAATCGCTGTTTTTTTCAAAATCTGTCACGATAGGATGAAAGAGCAGGTCAAGCTGAGCAACTTTTATGTTGGAGACTTTTTGAAAAACTTTTGTTTCTTGACCGGAAATAATCTTCAAAATTCCGAAAATCGCACCAAAATCGGTTTTCGGGCCTGCGCATACCGTGCGCACTGTAAAAGTGACTCTTTTTTTCTTCTAAT